CAGCTAAAGGTGACATAGATACTTTATTATGGTATAGTATTTAAATATATGTCTGAGAAACACATAATATTGCCCCTAAAAGCTACATGGAAGCTACAGTTTAAGGCAATAAGCTGAAAAAACATCCACTCACCACTAAAGCAAGGGAGATAGTCATGATGAGGGCACTGACAGCCATTCCTGCCAGACCAATCAGGTGCAGCGTCCTTCGTCCTGCGCGCTCAACAAGAAAAAGCTGGTGTACAGAGAATAAATCTCATTAACAAACCAAAACACTGAAAATAATTCTATCTGTGCAGACACGTACAGAAACAACTGTAAACACAGTGTTGACGACTCCGGCTCCTATGGTGGCAAAGATGGGTTTAGTTACCCCGGCAGTTTTGAAAATACCTGTGGAGTAATAGAAGACCTGGAAAGGAAAAAATACATTTTTGTTCAAATAAATTACTGTTTTTTTGTTTTTTTATGCCACTAACCAAAAGCTGCTCACAAACTCTGCAAATCAGCTAAAGAATCAGCTAAACAATAAAGATTTAAGATGCTATATTTATGCAATAAAAGTGTCAAGAAGCACTTCTCTGTGCGAGCTTGTCAGAATATGAAGGTGACTCACGGCGTTGATGCCGGACAGCTGTTGGGAGAGCTGCAGGATGATGGCGATCACAATGGGTTGGCGATAGTTTCGCGAGCGGAAGAGTTCGAGCACGGTCACTTTCTTTTCCATGGTCATCTTCATCCCTTCTTCCTTCATCTCCTGAATGTCATCGTCCACGTCTTCACAGCCGCGCAGGCGCACCAGTGCTGCAGGAGGAAATGCATTTTATAGAAGAAAAGTCAGAACTATTTCTAATCCCTCGTTTGTTGGTAGCAAAAGAGCAAAATAATCCATAGAAATGAAGGAATGCAATTTTTAAAGTGCAGAGAAGATTAATGAAGCCTCCGAAAACCAACAAAACATTTCACTTCCACATGGACCCAAGAGAAAATAAGAGCAGATTTTTCACAGAAAAACAGAAGTTTCTCTATTTCTCACTCATGTGTTCCTATTTTTTTTACACTGAAAACACAAATGTCACACCAAGGTGTGTGGTAACCTTGCTGCAACACTGTGTCATTAGGAGTTAAGATGTTTTTCAGAAGGTTGCATCAGTTTCAGATAAAGTTCTGAGTTTGAATCAGAGACGAAGCTGAACCTAACATCAGCATGGCAACCTAAACTCACAACTGATTGGTTGGTTGTGATCAGCACTTTTTACGCTTTGAAATTTTTAACTTTTCAACACGTAACAAAGAATAAAAAAACAGGCTGTCTGAAAAATCTTTAAAAAACGTCACTGTATTTGTTGGTAGAACTTAACATGAAGCTTTTTTCAGCATAAAAATTTTTAAAAGCATAAAAAGTTGTCCTCATGTGCATGTATCAGTGAGTTGGCTAATTATTTAAAAAAGCCAGGGGACCACAAATATAAAAAATAAAAACACATCCTTAACTTAAATGTTTGAGTACAATAAACAAATACTTTTGTCATCACTAAGCAACAGAAAATACTAAGTTTGTACAAGAAAAGTTACTTTAGTAACTTTAAAAAGAAGCTGCATGGAAATTGTATAGTGAAGTGAGTAATATATATGTAAAAAAAAGTAAGTTCATTTTTTTAATGTCATTTTTTTTATTTAATATTAGCAAAAAAGTCTAAAAAAAAAAGTTGCTTCAACTTAATTATGCTTTGGGAAGTCAAAGTTAGCCGAACCTAAAACGTAAAAAGCTGGGTGGAAACTGAGTGTACAAAACACAGTCAAAGGTTGACAGTGTGTCGGCTGTGCATTAGGACTGACCGTTTCTCGCCTCTTCCTCCTGGTTGAGGACGATGAGGAGGTATCGAGGACTTTCGGGGCAGAACGGCAGCATGATGGTCTGCAGCACGGCCGGCAGGATGGTGAGAGCGAGCAGCACGGGCCACAGAGCATCTGAACCCAGCAGAGACTCCAGACCAAAGATCTGAAACACAAAAAACAAAGAATTAATTTTCTAACATAAACTAATTTAAACCTTTTTTTTTCTAATTTTGGTTACATGAACTTCTTTCAGAACAAGCCCTACCTGCGCCACCAGGATGCCGATAACCACACCCAGCTGATGCAGCGTGCCGAAGGCTCCTCGGACAGCAGTGGGAGCGATCTCCCCCACGTACATGGGGGTCAGACCGGTGCACAGGCCACAGAAAATACCGATGACTAACCGGCCAACGATGACCATCTCAAATGATCTACTCAGAGACGACAGTCCCATCAGACCACCGCCAACAAGAGCCAGGATGTTGGCGATCAGCATCGACTTGCGCCTGATGTTGGGAGACAAAAATCAATTAGGAAACCAGAAAAACATAAGTTTCTTTAAGCTGTTAGCTTCCATGTTAGAACCTAGCTAATACAGTCTATGTATATA